CCCATTAACCAGCAGGGAGCACAACATTATGACCAGAGACAGAGATGGCACCAAGAAAAATCTACATTGAAAAACCTTGCTAAATAACCCCTATTTACTAGTAGGGTCCCCCATATATTTACCTTTCCACATTTTATGGCCCCTGGAAAGTCCAGACACCCTTTCCCTTTGTCTTGAGACTGCTTTACAATGTACTGTCTTTTGGCAGAATGGTATGAAAGCCTCCAAGCCTAGCTGCTTCTTCAGGATGTTTCTTTTCTTTTTAGGAAGCCGTCTCCTCCATGCCACATAATACTTTTAACATCAAATCTAATCTGTGTGCCTTTCTCCTGTTAATCTGTTTTTCATCAGTTTACTTTGCAGGTTCACCCACTAAACCTAAAGGATATGAAAGATTTTTCCTCCCCTTCTCCTCTTAAAGAGTCCAGGCCAGTGGTTATGTTGTAGAATGTTGATCAAACTGAGTTTATCTGGTTTTCTTCTGGTTTCATCCTGGTTATGCTAGTCATTCATTCGTTCATTCATTCATTTGCAGGAAAACCTGCATGATAATATATTTTTCTCAGTGCATCATATCACAAGGTATAGAATGTCAGTCAGTCTCATTATTGATAATATAATCTCTAATTACTTGGTTAAGGTGGCATCTGCCACATTTCTCTACTGCATGGTTACTATTTTTTCCTTTGTAATTAATATGCACTTTGAGGGGAGGTACTTTGATGCTACGTAAATATCTCATTCCTCATCAAACTTTTCCTTTAGTTTGGCATTGATGATGCTTGTTTGGACCAGTTACTATTATAATATTACAAATAGTGATTTTCTAACTCCATCATTTCTTCTCTAGTTATTAGCTGGCATTTACTGAAAGGAAGAGCTTCCTTTCTTACCTATCTACCATCTGGCTATCTTTAATATACACTTACATATTTTTTACCCCCAATGGGTTATAATCCATTACTGTAATGATTTACATTGATGCTTAAATTCCACCAGCTCTGGCTACTGAGAATCTCCTCAAGCTGCTTCTCATGTCATTTGGACACATTTCCATCATTTTTTGATCACTTTATAAAAAAATTTTCCCACCCGATGAGATGTTCCTGATCTATCTTGTACTTTCTTCTACCCTAGCCTTAGAATTGACCATTTCTTCAAAAAATTCTAGTTCTTTTTAGTAGAGAATGGTATCAAGAAATTAAGATCTGAGTGGCAGACCAACACATATGTAATATACATTAATAAAGTTCTTTATTAAAAAATGTGCCTAGCAGAATCAAATGTAAATCTCCCTGAGAGAACCCACTTTATTCAAGGTCTCTAATAAATCCCACAAATGAAATTCCAAGGAAAACTAGCATATCACTCTCAAAAACAACTAAACACTCATGGAAAAAAAGATACCATATGCAAGAAACCAAAGAAACAATAAACAAAAGAAACAGATTTACAACAATCTTTGCTTTAGTTATATAAGGTCTTAGAAAATTATAAAACTTTACTAAAAGACATTAAAGAACTAAACAGAGGAAGAGATATCCCATGTTTTCTTAAAGATTTTTTAAAATTTATTTTTAGAGTGAGGGGAAAGGAAAGCCAAAGAGAGGGAGAGAAACATCTATCAGTTGCTTCTGCCTTTCATTCACACCATAACCAGGGACTGAACCCAGAACTTGGAAATTGCACAGCGACCTTTCACTTGGTGGGATGATGCCCTACCAACTGAGCCATACCAGTCAGGGCAAGAGATATACCATGTTTAAAAGTTGGAAGGCAATATTACAAAGGTGTTAATGATTCTCATAGTGTTCTATGATTCGAATGAAATTCCAATGAAAATCTCACTAGGATTTTTCATGAAACTTGAAACATTGAATCTAAAATTTATATGAAAAATCAAAGGGGAAAAATAGCCAAGACACTTTAGAAAAAGAATAAGTGGAGAAACTTGTCTTACCAAATATAGAGCTATAGAAATGAATACAGTGGGACATTGGTACAGGGACAGATAAATTGACCCCAGTGGGGAAGAACAGAGAGCACAGAAGCAGACCAATGCTTTTACAGATATAAGATATACAAGAGATTTTGCCTAGCAGATAGCTGAAGAAATTGGGATCAGACGATTGGTTAGATATACAAAACTCAATTTCCATGTATTAAAGAGTTAAAGTGAGAGGGGGAAATGTTACGACTTATAAAAGAATGCACAGGACAGTATCATTCTGACCTCGGGAAGGGAAGCATTTTATAAACAAAAATTGAAAGGGCTAACCATAAAAGATTGTTATAATCAGCAATATTAAAATTAAAAACTCCTGTTAATAAAGACAATGTAAAGATGTGGAAACATAAGCCATGTACTGGGGAGACTTACTTGCAATACACATAACTGATAAAAGATTAGTATCCAGAATAGAAGAACTCCTATAAATCAATAAAGAAAGAATGGGAAGGAAAGGAGGAGAGAAAGGGAGAGCGAGACAGTCAGAGACAGGGAGACCAAAAGAAAATAAATAAAAGACAAACAGGTATTTCACAGAAGAGAAAAAACAAATGGCAAATAATCCACAAAAAGATGTCCAACTTCATTAGTAATTAGCAAATTTAGATCAAACATCATGCTATTCTACCCACTTGATTAGCAAAAATTAAGAAATCCGTTATTATAAAGTTGGTGCAGATGTGGATAAGCAACTATAACCCATAACACTATTGGTGTATAAATTATTACAGACACTTTTGGAAAACAATTTGGCACTATTTTATGAAGTTAGACATTCACATACTCTGTAACACAGCAAATCTCTTCCTAAGTAAGTACCCTGGAGAAATCCTTAAATGTAAATATCAAGTATACTCACAATAGCAAGAGCAGATGAGACAATAAACTAAATGAAATGTTCATCAACAGGAAATAAAGTGTAACTACACAGATCAACATGAATGAATCTTAGAAATATATTGAGTAAAAAAAAAGAAAAGAAAGTCACAGAAGACTAAAACCAATATATAATACCATTTTTATAAAAACTCAAAAGCAGGTGAAACAACCTCTTTTAGAACCCATTTAAAAATGTAAAAATATTATCTTTAAAAAGGGCAAGGGAATAATGCAAGAGAAAAAACTCAGAACAGAAGCCCTTCTTGTGGGAGGAAGGTTGATGGGGAAGGGACACAGTGGGTGTGCCCGTATCATGCTCTAGTTGTTCCATTGGGTAGAGGGTTCATGGTGCTCACTTTGTTATGCTTCCCAATCAACATCACGTTCCTCAGTCTTCACACTGGTGACATTTGGGACAGAATAAATCTATGTTGTAGGGGGTGCTGTCCTGTGTACTGTAGAATGTTTGTTTAGCAGCATCCCTGACCTCTGCCCACTAGGTACCAGTAGTACCACCCACCCAGCTGTAACAATATAAAATGTCTCCAGACATTACCAAACATTCCTGAGGAGCAAAATTGACCCTTGTTGAGAAACACTTATGTAAATATATTTTATATGCATTTTTTAATGTTTTAAATGTTCCATAATAAAACAAAGTTTAAAAGTGATAAGTAAAAGTTTCACTCTGTCTGCGAAGCACTAGAAAGGGATCATTAAGGGCTAAGAAAGCCAGAGCCCATCGAAGGCCTTTCAGTGTCAGGAGGGCTTTGATTAGCAGACGATACTTGCAGAAATGTCACCGGGTATTTGAAAATCAATGACTCCAGATACACTGGAGGAAAGTTTCTGCCACCTTTCTCAGTTGTTTAAGAAATCCAAAGCTTAGTTTAGCCTCTTAAGACACTGTTTAATTTCTTTAATCCATTATTGGTTAAAAAAAAACAACAAAAAACCAGGGCCCTCTATATATGACCTTTTAAGTCTTGAAAGAAGTCCATGGATTTTGTTACCTTTGAGGAGGCGGCTAAGACTGCATTCACCACACATTTAACTGTGGTCCCCAAAGGACTGGGATATTTCAGGAATAATGTCTAGATAACATAGCACTGCTGCTCTAGGAATGGGGAGTGCCTGAGATCCCACACTTATCACTGCAGCCCATTAATCCAAGAGCCTCCCCAACAACGTGGTTCTACTTGACAGCATCTATCTGGTTCTTATACTTGTAGTGCAATCCCATTTAGCCCCTCATGGGAGAATTTGTTACCCTCATTTTAAAAAACGGAGAAACATTCCTGGTTAGAGTGGCTCAGTGGATTGAATACCGGCCTGCACACTGAAAGGCTGTCGGTTTGATTCCCAGTCAGGGAATATGCCTGGGTTGCAAGCCAGGTCCTTAGTTGGGGTGGGGGAGGGGCGGGGGGAGGGGCGCAGGGGAGATTGTGGGAGAGCCAACTGATTGATGTAACTCTTGCACATTGCTGCTTTTTTTCCCTCTTTTCCTCCCTCCCTTCCCCTATTTCTAAAAAAAAAAAAAAAAAGTAAATAAATAAAATCGTTCCAAATGAAGGAACATAGATACAAAGAGGATACATGAGTTTTTCAAGATAACATAATCCAGAGAAATTGACTAGGAGTAGAACTGGCATGAAAATAAGGTCTCCTGATTCTTGGTCTTTATGCTTTTTCACCAGACTCTGAACTGTATCGGGGCATGTGTGATCATGCATGCACTGACGAGTGAGTATGTATGTGTGTGTTTGTGTGCATATCTGTGATTTGGGAGTGTATGTGTGTTTCTCTAAGGACAAGGAGAAAAGACTAAAGATTGGAGAAAAGAGCCAGGAGGTGAGGCATGATAAAAAGGTACAGGATTCAGAACATGCCTTGGGCAAGACCTCTCTGAGTCTCAGTTTCTTTCACTGTAAAAACTTGCAGAATGATTTGAAAAAAAATCACATGAGCTATGTATTTGAAAGCACTTTATGTTTCTGTAGACAAATGTGATTGTCATTAGAATTATTATTAAAAATGTAATACAGATTATAAAGTAACCCTCAAGGGCAGGATGACTCACATTTTCTTCATTTATTTTGGCACTAGCTCTTACCACATGTCCAGCTCGGAGGAATATTCAGTGGCTCCCAGCAAGGCATCAGGAGGGCGGTACCAGAGGGTCACAACTTCTGAAGAGTATGTCTGACTGGGAATGGACTTGGCCCGAGCAAGACCTGACCAAAGAGGAGAAGCATAGGCTCATTGTTCTGGGATTTCCTGGAGAACTACAGTGATACATTCTACCAAGGAGGGTATAACTGGCTGAGTGAACAATATTTTAACACTAATATACAAACTCTGGGTGCCTTTAATAAAGCTACTCTGCTCTCTTGGTCCTTGTGTACTTTATCAAGTGAATTTCTCAAATTATAGCCTACTTTGCAGCTAGATGTAGCCTCCCTGACTAAATTTTTGCTTATGTGGTATGAACAAAAGTGATGTGTGAACTTCCAGATCACGCACTTAATGGAGGGGGTAAGTGTTCCTTCCTTTTCTCCCTCCTCCAGGTTGTCATGAGAAGGAGGTGGGAGTCATCTTGAAATATGCAGCTGAGGCAACACCCTAGGGATGGGGGGACCTCCTTCCAAGTTCTGACTGCTTAAGTCAGATGGTATGTGAGAAGAAGCTTGGCTTCTAGCACATTTACAGCTCTGTGATTTTGGGTCTCTGTAACAGCAACAGAACTCAGTTCATACTAACATGGCCACCCTCCGCTTTTGCAATGCAGAATCCCCAGTTAGACAAAGGGCGGGCATTGCTAAACCAAATTAGTTAGTTTGGTAGGACTTCAGATGAGTCAGTTTCAAAGTGCTTCTCTCCACAATGAGAGTACTTTGCCAGTCAGCTACTGATCTCACAGAATCACATGATCTATAGCTGGAAAAATATTCAACAGATGAGTCACTGTTGTGGAGAGTTGATAAATAAATATCTGTTAAATGCTTACTTATCCAGATGAAAGCTACTATCTCAGAATAAGGTACTGCAGCTAGAGCACAACTGTTTGACGTCTGCCAAACAGAGAAGAGTGGTTCCTCAGCTCACACGGAATCAGCTTCTCAACAAATATTCATTGAGTACTTGCTATGGTGCCAGGCACTAGGGATACAATGATAAACAAAAATGGACCCAGGTTGGCATCATAATGCCTATAGTCTAGTGGAGGGGTCAAATTGTCACACAGGTGTGTGCGCGTGTGTGTGATTATAAACTGTGGTAAGTGCTAAAATGGAAAGATACAGTTAACGCTCAAGAGAACTCTGCATCACTTTGATGGAAATAAAAGCCTCACAGTCACACCTATATAGCTACAGCATTGAGCAGGAACAAGTGTCCTGGGACCTTCATGGCAGAACGAGTCTGTCTGACAATCTGGAGCTTTATTCAGTCATCCTGTGATATCCTCCATCTACTCTGACGGAGTTTGTATATCCACCTAGATTTACAGAGACTTACCAAGTACAGTTCACTCCTACAGATGTCTCTATATCAAAAATGGCAGTGGCTATTAGGGGCACAAAAGTTTTAGGGTCTGATTAGACTGGAGTTTGATAGAATCCTAAAAAGCTCCTTGTTTCTTGCCTCACACTTCCTCTATGGTAGTTTGATATCCTCTAAAGCATCATGCTCTACGGGCCTCGACTTTTCAAAGGCCAGACCTTGTCAATGCTTTAAACATGTGTACACAAAAGCATCATTGTTCACAGCCCAGAAAAAGACTCGTGGGGCAGCTTACCAAAGTCAGCCAGTTTGAGCTCTCCCAGGTGACTGATGAGTAAGTTCTGAGGTTTCAGGTCCCTGTGAAGAACGTGTTGGTGGTGGATATACGCCAGGCCCCGCAAAAGTTGAAACATGAAAAGCTGGAAGGAATGAACACCTTATCTAAACAGATTTGAGCCACTATGTGGATTTCTCCTCTAAATGAAAAACACTCATCTGTAAGAATATAGTAAAAGTGTCTCTTGAGAGACAGAGAGAGGGAAAAATTTATATTTAGAGGGAAAAGAAAGGACAAGGAAAGTCAAATAAGTAGCCCATGTCCTAAACAAAGGGATTCTGGCCTTCCCTGACATCTCATTTCTTTGATATTGAGGGAATTAACTTTCCTTAAAAAACCTGAAGTAAAACTTTAAAGTTTCCTTTGGAACACTAGTTATTGATTTAGATGTGAGAGATTTAATTTTTTTCCCCACTGATGAACTTGGCATATGAGATCAAAGTTGACCTGGAAATGATATACTAAGGTTTACAACTGCTTCAGTTTTCCAGGCTCTCTGATATGAAACCCTTTTAAAAACACAACACAAGGAGACCAAACTGGAAAATAGACCCTTAGATGGTAAAAGGAAATAAAGGAACCATTATCTTTTTAAACCTATTTTTAAAGTCTTAGGTTCAAAGTTGAAAATAAGGGAAATAAATATAAATTAAGAGGGAAGAGAGACCAAAAGGAATTAGGCCCCTCCAAAAAAAAATTGAGAAGAGGACAAGGAGTAAATAGTAGGGAGAAGAAAGAAGATGGGGGAAACAGCAGGAAAAATATACCCTGGGCCCAAATTCTAAAATGTTGCATGTTATTATGAAGCACAGAAACCAGACATTTTTAGGTTCCATCATTATAGAAGTTTAAAGTTTAAAAAAAAGAATGCTTAGTTTTCCAAGTGTCTTTTGCTATTTTCCAGTGCCACTGGCAATTGAGAATTCAAACATCAACATTAGTGTTTACAAAGACCTATGCCAACTGAGAACATGTTCTGACAGTTTAGCAAAGAAAGGGCCAGCCCCAGCATTCCTTGGGACACAGGTAAAATAGCAGACACAGAGCTGTGTGGATAAATCCCCTTTTTCCATCACATCTTGGAAACCAGGAACTTCAGAGATGCTCGGACCTGTACTGATCTAACAATGGCTTGTTGACGTTGTAGGTGAGGTAATGAGCAGCGTGGTCTGACTGAAGCGGAGCTGGGGAGTTCACCCACCATCGCATAGCTGGGGCCGTGGAGGTTTCATGGAGGTCCCACATCAGTTTCACAAGTCATTTAAGAGTGCTGAAAATTTCTTGAGACTTCTCCTTCAAATGTTCACTGGTTCTATGAATCTTCCCAAGGCTTTATCTTCTTGGTGCTTCAAACACACACACTGTTTACTTTTCCATTCATCCAACCATGACGCTACCAAAGTACAAAATTCTTGTGTCATCATTTAAACCTTCCAATTGGTTATAATGTTCATGGAAAAGACAATATAAAAAAACAACTGAAATTTCAGGTGAAAGATAAGATGCCATAGAATATGTTTTTCAATGGGAAAGTACTAAGGACAGATGAGATGGAGGCAGGTGAGGAATAGAAGGCAAAACACGATCAGCAAGAGAGAGACAGAAGAAGGAAGAAAGGGAAAATAGTATTTATTGAATGCCTACCACGTTTTATAATTCTCTAAACAACTCTTTGAGGAAGATGTGCTTGTCCTCAATTTATGGATTGAAAAAAAAAGGAAACTTTACAAATATGTCTAGAAAAAAGCCGGGGCCAGGTGTCAAATCCAGACCTGCTTGACTGCACTACACCATCCTGAGAAGCCGGAGAAAAGACAAAAATTAGAACATGACAGGCAAAGACGGAGTTGGCTGACTGAGTCAGAAACCGAGCTCCTCAGTGGGCCAGGCTGAAATGCCTTTCATGTCCCAAGGATGGCCTGTTCTCACTAATTAGTCACACCCGCCTCCCACCTTCTTGTTCTCAGTCTCTTTCCTCCTGGCTCCACAGATGTCTGTCCGCAAGCATCTGTAAACGGTAAGCACTGTGGTGTTACGGTATGGTATTTCACAGCCACACTTCTCACTGCAGTGTGTGCTGACTAAGCTCACCACCCACTCACTCTTTAATCCTTTACAACCTGGATTCTTCCTTCAACAGTGCCAAAGCTTCACTGAAAATATGACCCAATTTGACGGTGTTTGTTTTGCTTTTTTTTTTTCAGTCAACATCAAGCCAGATATGTGGGTGACTCTTTCCAGAGAGGCATCCCATACGCCAGGGGTTAGTTCTGTTTCCAACACTATAAGACTCTTGGGAGCAAAATGTAATGCCTTTGGGCTACTGCCATTTGGGCTGGAATCCCTTAAAAACACAATCACTTCAGTCAGCCAACTCCTGCAGGGAAGCCTGAGTCCTTCCACTCACCAGGAAGCCCTGGGCTTGTTAAATCCAACACGGGCAAACTTCACTATGATTCCCATCATGTCTTCTGTGGTCACTACTCAAAAAATAAACCTCTCTGACTATTCATTTTCCTCCCATAAGCTCATCTCTATATTGCTCTGTGCTTCCTTTTATTTAATCTAGTATCCAGGGTTCCTTCTGCATCCAAACTTTTTCATTGTTCACTGTTCACTCCTCCATCCTGGTTTTAAAACTCTCTACAAAAAAAGGAAACTTTAAAAATGTGTCTAGAAAAAAGGCAGGGCCAGGTGTCAAATCCAGACCTGCAACTCAACAGCTGATGAATTTTCTTCTAGCTCCTTTCCTCAATGGGACCTTGATTTCACTGCTTTCCTATAGCATCCTCAAATGGATGTTAGTTTTCCTACAGCTGACTCATACATTTGATCACGGGGAGGTGGGGTCAGCAGTCTCCTGATGCCTCCATACCACTTCAAAACCATTGCTTCTCCACCCTTAAGTAAAACCCCCTATTGCTTAGACTTTCTTGCCATCCAGCTACAACTTCCTCTACTCCTCTTTTCACTCTTATCGACACAACTCCCCACCACTCTCCATCATTCACTCAAGACTTGGGCACCTGGATCACAGCTGTTACTTCCTTGACATTGGTGGCCAGGTGAACAAATTAAGCTGACTTCGTCGGCTCCAGTGATCTGCTTCTCCAATCAACTTCAGCCCCCTCACTCCATGATAACACAGCGGGTCTTGCTATCATATGCATCATATGCAACTGTTTTGATCAGTCATTCATAATGTTTTGGGTTTTTTTTTTTTTGCCAAGGTCACCAAAGCCTTTTGCTATGGAAATCCAATGGATATCTCTCATTCTTTCTCTTTGCAGGATCTGACATTGTTGACCATGTCTTCCTTCCTAAAGCTCTCTCCCCTTGGTACTACAACCCTTTAATTCTTCTCCTAATTCTCTTACTGCTCTTTTTATGTGTTCCTCTTCCTCCACTTCCTCTACTGATCTGTAATATATTGAAATTCCTTAGGGCGCCTTCTTCTCTTATCATTCCACATACTCTCTATTAGCCATCTTATCCACTCAATTAACAACTGTAGTCTGAAGATTCCAAAACCTTTATCTCCAACACAGATTCTTTCTTGAACTCTAGACCCATGTAGTCTGACCATTCCATAATTACCTCAAACTCAGAATGTCTAAAACTTACCTCACTGTTTCTCTCTGAAATCCACTTTCTCCTCTCTTTCTCTCTCTCAATGAGTAGCGCCATTATCCATCTAAACACGTAAAGCTAGAAAAATTATTGCTGACTCTTTTGTCTGTTGTTCATCTTAGCTAAGTAATCGATTGCATATATGTCCACTTTCCTCCACCATCACCTCACATCTGCATCACTGTTGTCCGATTAGCCTCAGTGTCAAGGCTGGAACCTAACAGACAACAGCATTTAGGGAATGACTAGAGGAAATGGGAGGATGGAGTGGGAGTAGGAAAAAAAACAAGGGGACTATGATATTTCCCAAAAATGTATTGCCCCTTCCCCGACTATTCACTGCAGAGTCATCAGAGAGAGCTTTACAAAAAGAAAATTTGAAGTTATCACTTCCTTGCTTAAAATCATTTAATGGCTCCTCAAATTGAGTAACATGACATAGCCGGGCCCTTCATGCTCTGACTCCTACTTCCCCCTCAAGCCTCATCTCTAACCATACCCAATTCTGCTAATTCCAAACTTCCAGATTTACTGAATTATCATCAGTTCTTGGACTATACCTAGCCTTCTCTGTCATCTCAGCTTTTTCACTGCTGCCTCTACTATGGGGAACTCATCCCTACTCACATCAGCTTTGATTGGATAACGTCTTCCTTTCTGTCTCCCTATACCCATAATACATCCTTCTATTTATTCATGTTTTCCTCACACATCTACATAGTCGTTGTAGTCAAGTATAATTTTCAACTGTATCCTTGGTGTTTGTGACACTCTCAACCATACCCTCCTTAGAATTGTCTCTTCCCTTGACTTCCATGAAAATGCATTTTTCTGGATCCTCTGCATTCTTAAAAGCTATTTCCCTTGGTCCCTTGCTGTCCTATTCCTCTTCTCAGGTCCTAAAGACAAAAGTTCCATCATCAGTATTTCCCTTTGTGGATTTGTTCTTTTGGTTATCCACTCTCTTGTCTCTACCTAAAAACTCCTTGTGCCAGTTACCCTCAAATCTACATCTCCAGCTCATATGCCCCTCCTGAGCACCGATCTCCTCTTCCGTGGCCTGCCAGTCATTTCCCTATGAGTTCACTCTTCTAAAACAGGACTCCTCCCCTTCTCCAAACCAACTTCTTCTATTTCTATTAATAGAACTATAATTTTCCTGGTCAATCAAACTCAAAATCAGTCATGTTTGGCCCCACCCTGTCCCTCCTCATGTCCAGTTCGTCACCATGTCCTGGATGAACTAACTCTCCACTGTTTCCGTTTTTCATATTCCTTTCCATTCTTACCTTTACTACCATAACTTAGGTCTTTTTACTTCTTACCTAGGTCCTTGATACTCAAAGTTTGGTCCTCAACCAGCAGCATCTATCACCTGGAATCATGTTAGGAGCAGAAGCTCAGGCCCCACCCTATCCTTACTGAACCAGATCCCCAGGTAGTTCTGCTCATTGAAGTTTGAGAGGCACTGGGCTAGACCACATCAATGAACTCCCAACTGGAATCCCTGACTCCAGTTCTCCCTCTTTAATCCATCCCACAGACCACAATTACATAAATTTCCTTCTGATCACGTCATTCTCTCTCAACTCAAACCCTTTTAATGAGTCTAATGTCTAAGGAATAAAGTCCACATCTTAGAAAGTGAGGTTCTCAGCCACCGACCCAATCTTTCCCCCAGACTCCTGTATCCCCTTTCACTAATATAGTCTTTTAATATATGTCAGGTCCACAGGGCCAGAGGTGCAATGTGGTGGCAGTGGAAAAGCATCCTAACCAAGAATCACATTTAGCAATAGCAAAAGCTGGTTCTATAACCTCGAGCAAAATGTGTTCCCTTCCAAACTTTAGACTGCAGTTCTGCAAAACAAGAAAGTTACATCAACCCATTGTTTTTAAAGACTTTTTTTCCCCTGCAACCACAGTAAGAAATACACAGGTACCCAGCATTCACATCCATACGTTTAAGTACAGTTTCAGTTGGAACAAAAGGTTGCAAAAATATTTTTTATCCTCTTCTCACCCATGCTACTTCATTGCTTAAACTGTTGGTTGCTAGTCACCATATTGATTTAATAACACACGAATGGGTCACAACCTGAAGACTGAAAAGCAGTGTTTGTCCCTTAACCTTAACAATCCATAACTCTGGGGTCCTCTTCCTTTAATTTGTCCTCTATTTCCCTGCTCTATACCTTTGGTGAAAATAATTCTTCTTCCTGTAACATCTTCCCCTGTTTCAGCCTCTTAAAATGCAATGTATTTTTTAAGTCCTGGCTTAATGAAACCTCTTAAAATGAGAAAATATATTTTACTTCTTTACATGTCTACAATACCAAGTCTTATTTCTTACTTGGAATTATTCAATGTCCTGTAATGGTATTGGTGTATATTTCTTTTATCTTGTTTTTGGATGTGAGTGCCTTGTGGGCAGGATTCTGTGTTCCATCTAAGCATTTAGCACAGTGTCTGGTATGTCAATCACATAAGCCTGACAATCTTTCTCACAGTTATTTTTTTCCTCCAACCATTCTTCTACATAATCAACATCTCAGGTTTAGTTTTCTGACGCTTCTGCTTTTTACCTAGTTATCAGCAACCTGCCTGTTTTCACTTCCTTCCCTCAGTTTAGATGCCACTGACCATCATTCTAACCCTTCAACATTCTCTTCAATTCTCTTGCCAAACTGTCTTTTCCTCCCACTTATCTGGCAAAACCCCAACTTTAAATCAATCAAACTGTCTGCTTTCTCTTCTCCTCTACTTGAATTGCTAAGCACTACCATTAAAAAAAAATCCCATGATCATGCAGATAATTTAATGATTTTAATTCTCACTAGAATCGTTAACACACTATTAGAGACTTTCTTGGTTTTCCTAGTTTCCTATTCCATTCTATAATAGCTATTAAAATTTCTTCACTGTCCTCAACCCCTCTGTCCTCATGCCTTTCCCCCCTTGTCTTTAAGAGTAGATTAAGTCTTTTATTAAGAGTTCTCATAATATTCCTATTAACATGTCTATTGCCTTATCACTTTGCTTCTCACCGCCTATTTAAGTCCACATATCTTACTGGGTTTTAAGTGCACTGAAAATAAAAAAAAAAACACAACTTATTCATTAGTAAAACCTAAGGATCTACTAAGTACTCAATAAATATTTCTTGAGTGAATGAATAAATGAATACATAAATTATTAGTTAAATGAACGAGTACATCATATACAAATCTCAGGTGGTTAAGTGCCAATCAATTAATTTGTGCCAATAAAACCCTGCAGGGGTGTCCAACTCACTGCCTGCGGGCCCCACACAGCCCAGGGTGGTTATGAATGAGGCCCAACTCAAAATCATAAATTTACTTAGAACTTTTTTTTGCTCTTCAATTTTCGTTAGTGTTTGTGTATTTAAAGTATGGCCCAAGACAACTCTTCTTCTTCCATTGTGGCCCAGAGATGCCAAAAGGTTGGACACCCCTACTAGGGAATGAAAAGCATAAAATAAATGGTCTCTAAAACTTATAACATGTAGAATTATAGCTAGTTAAAAGTTTATTATTATTGCTATTCTAATGTCTGGAAAAAAGGAAGCTAGTCTCATAGACAATAGGATCTGATAGCACAGGCAAAAGAGTAAACAATTAAGATCTAACAAAAGTAGTTTGTTTGCCAATTCTCATGGAGAACTATAAATACAACACAAACTTTATCACAGAACACAGTAGTCTGCCCTGAAAAAAGTATTTATTATATGATGGCCTACCTTCACTACTTCTTTTTTAATGCAATTCTTTTGAATTGGCTTATGCTTCTGGAGATATGCCTGCATGATGGCAATGACTGACAAGGTCGGGCTGCCTAGTTCCTGAGGGGCAAAAATTTATTTTTAACTCCTCTAAACATGGCTCCATTTCTTGAGGGGCAACTTTTTTTTTTTTTTTTAACTTTTCTCTAGAATATCAGTGATGGCCATCTTATTTAGTGTCTTGGGACTTTGCTTTGTACTGCAGTCTGTTTCAGAGTTCTTGCCCTGTTGTGGGCCAGCCAGAGATCCTGACCCTCAAAGTACTCACCCTGACATTGTGAGGATGAAGCCCTCCTGGGTGCTGAGACATGTACTGGGCCAGGTCTGTGTGCTGCATGAAACGGTGGAGAGACTGATGTTAGTGGTGCTTGGGCAGCGCCCTAAAGCAGAGCACAGATTTGACTGTCAGAGACGTTACAAAGTTCAGGATTTTTTAGTATAAGGTGCAAAAGGTACATAATCTGGATTTCTTGAAACCCCACTGTTAAGGTCAAACAGTGTGTCTTTCTAACTGGTTGCTCTTAGAAGGAGGCTTGCTTCTTGGCATAAAGAGATGCTCATCTTAAATGACTGTCACTAAACACGATGACAGAGGGATTTTTCATTCTTCTTGGAGGCAAGTCAAGTACATATAGCTTATGATTTCTTTGTGCTGATATTTGACTAGCTTTCCCCTCAAAAATACAAAACTCAGGTATTCTTTAGTAAACTTACATACAATTTTTAAAAACCTTTTGATTTGTATCGATGAAAAAATGTTGGGTTCTGCTCAGGTAGTGATTAAAAATAGATTTTAAAAAAGTGTAAAAGTTTTATTTAGGAGGCAAACTCAAAATTTGTATTTATTATTATCAGTGAGAGGAAAAAGACAGCAAATATATTTGGTAAAGAAGCAAGATTAAAGAATGAGCGTAAGAACAATAGGCTCTGTTAATCATAATAATGAAAATTTCCATGACACGTTCCACATTGTAATGAAAATTTTATCATGCCATAAAATATTAACAGATTCATTATACAAGCACCAGGATTTTCCCTCACGCTTTGTAAAATGCTGGGGCAACTCACCATGTATTCGAAAACGAATGTCAGGGTCTCTTTGGTGTGGATTATGTCATGCAGGAGCACAATATTGGCATGTTTCAAACCCTTCAAAAGAGAAGCTAGAAAAATGAAACAAAATGCTAATTCAGTCATTGATAATGAAAGCACTGCTTTAAAGATATCAAGCAGTATTTATTTTTTAAATATTTCAAATAAAGCATTCTGGTTTTTCATTGCTGGAAAAATCTCTTATGAAATAATATTTAAAATTACAAAGGACCTCATTATTTGTGAAATGGTGAGTCATTGTATTTGCATACCTTATTTTTTTAATAGGTTAGAGCAGTTGCAAAAAAATATGTTTCCATTTATCCAATCAATTTCATCAAAGCACTCAGAGCACTTTGCAAATGCTTTCCTCTGGGAATCTTATCATCTCTGCTTCAGAGTTATAGGAGAGGAGGCCTGGAGAGATAAAGGCCACAGGGTTGGGGGTGGGGGCAGGAAATGGAGTGCTCTGCCTTCTAGAGCAGGACTTTGCAACATGTGACCATTTTCTAAAATTCAAAGTCCCACAGGGGCTCAGCAAGGCTGGTGGATGGGGCTGGTAGAAGGCAGGGATAAGAGCATGGGATGAAAAATTGTTAAAACATTGTAAAGAGTGGAGGGGATTTTAACAAAAACATTTTATTGATTGATTTTTTTTTTTGAGAGAGAGAGAGGAGGGAAGAGAGAGAGAGAGAGAAACATCTACTTATTGTTCCACTTATATATGCATTCTCGGTTGATTCTTGTATGTGGCCTAATCAGGGATCAAACCCAAAACCTTGGTGTATTGGGATGATGCTCTAACCAACTAAGCTACCTGGCCAGAGCCTAGAAGGTGTTTCTTGAAGGGAGAATTGGAAACCTCTGTGCAAAGGAGAAAATACAAACTTGAAAGGAGGACAGGGCCAAGCTTGGGAGCTCAGGATAGTAAGAGTGGAGAGGGCTGAAGACTGTCTCTTGCATCTTCAGTAGCAGGTTGTTATTAGGTCAGTAAGGGCAGCCCTAAAGGGGAGAAGTCCCCACAAACGGCTAGTGAGTGGCTGGCAGCGAGGTTAAAAGGCTATCCTTGGGGGTACCAGAGATAAGACGGAAGGGTAGAGAACAGAAAAGGCACAAAAAGAGGATGATGAGTCTCAACTCAGGACATCCCTGTATAAAGAAACAGTGTCCTTAAGACTTAAAAGACAGGAAAAATTAGGGGCGTAGGTAGATACACTTTGCCTCCTCACACAACCAAAAGGACAACAAGTTTAAAAAAAACAACAACAACGAGACATGCCAGAAAATAGAACTGTATGGAAGTCTGACAACCAAGGAGTTAAAGAAGAAAGATTCACCCAGACTGCTGGGAGGGGCAGAGGCGGGCAGCCAGGGCAGAGAGGATGAATGGCAAGGCGGCAGCTGGAGAACTAGGGCATGTGAGGCAGCGGCTGGTGGATCAGGCAGTCCCACATTTGTGTGCAGATAAACTGGGAGGAACAACTAGGGAGCGAGGCAGACCACACAACCCAGGGTTCCAGTGTGGGAAAATATAGCCTCAAACCTCTGGCTGTAAAAATCTGGTGGGGTTGTGGTGGTGGGAGAAACTCCCAGCCTCACAGGAATGAATGTTCATCAGAGCGACCCACAGTGTCCATCGGAGCGATTACACAAATCCACCCACCCAGTAATCAGCACCAGAAGGGCCCAATTTGCTTGTGGGTAGCAGGGGAAGTGACTGAAAGCCAGTGGAGAGCTGAGCAAGTGGCATTGTTCTCTCTCTGACCCCTACCCAACATACAGTGCCACAATGCAGTGATGTGAATTGCCCCAGTCTGGCAAATACCTAAGGCTCTGCCCCTTCCAACATAATAGGCATGCTGAGACAAAGAAATATGGCCCAAATGAAAGAAAAGATCAAAGCTCCAAAAGTAGAACTAAGCAAGGAAGTGATAGCCAACCTATCAGATACAGAGTTCAAAAGATTGGTAATCAGGATGCCCACAGAAATGGTTGAGTATGGTTGCAAAATAGAGGAAGAAGTGAAGACTATGCAAAGTGAAATAAAGAAAAATATACAGGAAACAAACAGGGAAAGGAAGGAAACCAGGACTCAAATCAATGATTTGTAGCAGAAGGAAGAAATAAACATTCAACCAGAACAGAATGAAGAGACAAGAATTCAAAAAAAAATGAGGAGAGGCTTAGGAACCTCCAGGACAACTTTAAACATTCCAACATCCGAATCACAGGGGTGTGAGAAGGAGGGAAAGAGCAAGAAATTAAAACTTATTTGGAAAAATACTAAAGGAGAACTTCCCCAATCTGGCAAAAGAAATAGACTTCGAGGAAGTCCAGGAAGTTCAGAGAGTCCCAAAGAAGTTGGACCCAAGGAAGCACACACCAAAGCACATCATAATTACATTACCCAAGACTAAATGTAAGGAAAGACTCTTATAAGGAACAAGAGAAAAAGGAGACAGTTACCTGCAAAGGAGTTCCCATTGGACTATCATAGATGATTTCTCAAAAGAAAACTTGCAGGCAAGAAGGAGCTGGAAAGAAGTATTCAAAGTCATGAAAGGCAAGGACCTACATCCAGCAAAGCTATCATTTAGAATGGAAGGACAGATAAAGTGTATCCCAGATGAGGTAAAGTGAAAGGAGTTTATCATCACCAAGTCCTTATTATATGACATTTTAAAGGGACTTATCTAAGAAAGAGAAGAAGATCAAAACTATGAACAGTAAAATGACAACAAACTCACAACTATCAACAACTGAACCTTAAAAAAAAAACAAACTAAGCAAACAACTAGAATAGGAACAGATTCACAGCAATGGATAACACATGGGTTATCAGTGGGGAGGAGGAGGTGGAAGAATAGGGGAAAAGGTACAGGGAATAAGAAGCATAAATGGTTGGTACAAAATAGACAGGGGGAGGTTAAGAAAAGGATAGGAAATGGAGAAGCCAAGGAATTTATATGTACGACCCATGGACATGAACTAAGGGTTGTGGGGGGGATGCTGATGGAAGGGGGTTGCAGAGTGGAGGGGAGTAAAGGGGAGAAAGAAATGAGACAACTATAACAGCATAATCAATAAAATGTATTTAAGAAAGGACTTAAAGGACAGGAAAAATTAAAACTCAAATAAAAACTCAAATCAATGTTCTATAAAATGAAAAACAAATTCAAATGTTCCCTTCAAATTTTGGAACAAAATTGCTTCCTTCAGTAATCTTATCATTGTAATGATCCTTTGTTGTTTTGCTCTCCTAGCAGCCATTCTCCCTTCTAGTGGTGGGACCTCTATTTTCCTCTGGGGAAGCAGACACTCTCCTCAGTCCATGCTATTTTTGGGGTGCTGACCCCACCCCTACCCAGGAGTGGGCGTGTGACCCAGGCATGTACAATCAGAGCACAGCACCCTTTTGCCACAGTGATTGGTTCAGAGACAGGCACAAAACCTAAGCCCTACTCTGCTGGTGTCATCAGGATAGAAGTCATTTCTTCTCTTATGGTGAGTGGTGAGTGTGTAGGATTTGCCAGGACCTACTCTGGCCGGATTACCAATACCTGGGAATAAAACTAAGGCAGAGAAAATCAGACATGGATTCCGGAGACATCGTTTGCTCCCAGCTAGTTTGTAGTTATCAGATCTCTGAGTCAGCTAATTTCCTTCTTTACTCACCTTAGTCTGAGCTGGCAACCTCTTGCCACCCAAGGAGCCCTATTTCACCCGTTAACCCTACTTATCTTTACTGACTAATACTCTAACTTTAGTTTTTGCTCTCTGAATCCGTATGAGCTAAATTTATTATTTCACTCTTACAAGTACATTGCTTTGAAAATGTAGTAAACAGTTTCACAGGCATCTGTTTAATGTCTCTAGTCCTAGGCTGAAAGCTATATGCAAATAGAGGGAGTGACTTTCTCTCTCTTTAAGATGCTGTCACACCATCTGGTACAACACTCAGCCAAGAGTAATCACTTAATTTATCAAATATATTTATTGAGTGTCTTAACAGAGAGTTGACTGTGGAGCCAGAAGCCCTACTGTGAATCTTGGCCCTGTCACTTTCTATCCAAGTGAGCTCGGGACAGTATCTCAACCAAGTCTCAGTTCACTCATTATGAAAAAGAGATAATGCCTTTCCTGACTTGACTTCACAGGGTCGACATGAGGATGGAACCAGATCCCATGCGTGGATCCCTGGCAAATGTCAAGCATCACACAGTTGTAAATTAGAATTAATGCTTGCCACTGTCAGATTGTTCTTTATTTATATGTCTCGGGGAAGGGTCAAGTTAAGGAACATGTATAAAGGATCCAAGGACAAGGACAACGGGGTGGGTGAGGGGAGAACTGAATGTGGGTAAAGGGGGGTGGCTAGGGCAGGGGAGGGCAATGGGGGAAATTGGGGACAACTATAATTGAACAATAGAAAAATTTTTAAAAAATAAATACAAAATTAAAAGCAAAAAACAAAGAATTAATATTTGCCCTTCTTTTTCACCTTGAACCTCACTAAATCCCCACTCCCAGATTATTATCTTAAAATTTTGTTCACATCAATTCATAGATACAGAGAACATTTTGATGGTTGCCAGATGGGAGGGGTATTGGAGGGCTTGGTGAAAAGGAGAAGGGATTAAGGTGTGCAAATTGCCAGTTATAAAAACAGTCATGGGGATATGAAGTACAGTAAATGGAATATAGTCAATAATACTTCAGTAATTATGTATAGTGTCAGATATGGGTATTAAACTTGTTCGGGTGATCATTTTGTAAGTTATATAAATGTCTAATCATGTTGTAACACCTGAAATTAATATAATGTTTTATTTATTGTATTCAATTGTAATGTAATTTTTTTTCAAGTTTGTTTATGTCACTTTCTGCTGGAGTTTTCAATACCTTCCATACTTACAATGACTTCTGACCATCAGTTAAACATTCTTATATTTTATGTTTATTTTTATTTGTAAATTATGTTCATTTTTTTCTCTTTCTATGCCGCCACCCCACCTATAATTACAAAACATGTGCCAAAATTAGATTTTAAAAGGATGTGACCCAGGCTGGT